AGCAGCGGCGAGGGGGGGAGCGGCTCAAAGCCGCAGCTGGCGCCTGCTTCTGCTGCGGTGGCCTATCCATCAACTGTGCACATCGCGAGGGCATCCAATGGCATATGACGAAATCGTTCGTGACTGGCCTCCTCCTCGTCTGCCTGAAGACATCAACTCCCATGCTCATCGGCATCTGTGACAAATTCATGCTAAGCGCCGTCGAGCACCCCCTCTGTCTGCAATCCGTAATCCTCTGAAAAATGATCCTCCAACTCTCCCAAAATCCCTTCCTTGCTCTCCGCAGCTCTCCACCGGTTTCAGAGGAGATGGCGCAAACCCCTACATGCCTTCTAGATGGGGTCCATATAAACCACCTTTTGGGGATTGTGCCATCTGTTTCTCCCCAGTACACCTATTTTTTTCTCCAACTCAATGTCTCACTCTTGCTGGCAGCAGGCTAGCACCTCGTCCACGGTCGTCACTTTTGCTGTCGTCCTCATAGTCACCTAAAAGCAATAGAGAGATGCAAGCATGCAAGCAGCTTGTATAGTATAGAAGCTGCTTGAAAGCAAATGTAAAAAGCTTCAAAAAAGACTGACCTTCTTCGCGACTTCCAAACCCTCACAGACTCTCTGAGACTTCAAGCTGTAATCGTAGTCGCTGTAGTAGTCACTGGGCGACTCACGTCCTAAGGACATCATCCAATGATCCCAACGACTGCCCCGCGCCCTAGACCCTTTCGCACCGCAAAAACCACTGAAACTTAAAAAAAGGAGTCTGCGATCTGTGTTCAGAAACCTGAGAGGGCGCAAGGCCGTAAAACGAGTTGAACTCTTGCCCCACTGAACTCAACTCTGGGGCGACCACTGGCCTTCCGGCCTCCAAAAAGACACAAAAAAAGGCGCTGCGAGGTAGCTGGGGGTGAACGAACATGATGAAACCCCTGGGTGCGGACTCCCAACATCAGCTGCAGTCTTGAAGTTCTGTTCCAGTCCAGCTTCACATGGCGGTCCAAATATTCAGATGATTCAGAGCCGGATATATGCACTCTCACAGCTCATTGGGGTCACCGGCCACGTCGCTTGTTTTTGCCAGCATCCTGCGTCGTGCGTTGTCGTCTGGGACCAGCACGCGACCGGCGCTGGTCCGCGTTCCTGGCCTCCAGGACGGTGATTTCACAGGCTTCCGATCGGGCTTTTCCTTGGAAGGCAAGAGCTCGTTCGGTGGTTTTGCTTGGAGAGGTCTTGGATGGTCTTTGCTTCTTCTCCGTCCAGTCCGCTCGAGAACAACCAGCCAATCGACGGCGATTCGACTTGTGCATGCTTTCCGACGCCCAAGAGCATGCCTGAGCATGCTAAATTTCATGCCTGAGCTTGATGCCCATCCTGTCATCCTTCTCCCGGAATTGAACCTCGGAAGTGGCACTGCACGCGTCGGGTGCTCGTGATTTGGGGTCACACCGTATGCCGGTGCCCGAGACCTCGCGTCGTGTAAAGGGTCGCTGAAGAGCTGAGCCCCTGGACACGATCGCCACTGTTCAGCATACCTGCCTGCCACTCTTCAGCAAATCGGCCAATCTTGGAGGCTTCAAGGAAAGGATTGATTCCTTTTTAGGAATCCCCGCTAAAATTTAGGGGGTGGGTTCGTAGAGACAATTCTCTCGGTGGTGATTTTAGGATAAAATCATGCAGCGCATCCTGCCTCCCGCGCGTGCACAAAAATGTCAGGGCCTCGAAAGTGTCAGGAAAACCTTCCTGAAAACCCAGGAAAACCTTGAAAGTCTTTGCGCCGTACCGCCGTCGTCAGGTGAGATAAAGCCAAACCTCAGCTTTCCGGTCACAAATAGTTAACACTGTAACACCTCTCAGAGCAAAACTGAGACTTTCACCCCTTGCCCTCAACCCAGCGGACAACCTGAGAGTGTGTAATCTACATCAATCAATGGCTAGGCTCCCGCTCTAGCTCTCTCTATCTCTCTCTCTCTCTATCTCTCTCTCCTTTGAGTCTGCGACACGACCTGTCTTGAACTCCGATTTTCCCATTGCATCTTCAATTAGCTTTGCATAAGAGATCAGAAGAAGGAGATCAGAAGAAGTATGACATGAGTCATGAGCTGGCTTGCTGCTTAACTTCGGGTCTCACTGAAGTGCATCAAACAACACTTTTGGAAATGCCTTTGCATACCTTGAACCACACCTTGCCAATTTGTGTCTGCCATTCCTGTCGAGCGCAAATCATGGGGCATGCTGGGGAGGGAAGTCCACTCATTCATTCAAGCACTGTCTGCCATCAATCGGTCCGTTCATTTTTAGCATGCACAGGTTCCTGCTGGGCGACGAGCACTTCGCATCCGCCACTGACAAAAGTTGACAGATTGAACGGAAATCATAAGAACCAACCGCGTTCGCTGGCCTCTGACAAAACGTCAGATGGCTTGCCCTTCTTCACAATCCATCTTGTCCTCGGCGTTGTCCACACAAGCTCCGCATATCCAGTGGCTAGTGCTATCATCTCAAACCCACTACTGACAGTGGCCTCCCATTCTTCTCGTGCATATCGCTTGCCGGATAACTGTGCACGAGCTATGCCGCGACTTTCTACAACGCTCCGATCCCCAAGAACCATTACGACATGATTCTTGTAGCCATGTCGGTGTAGGCTGCGTAGCCAAGCTGCACACTCCGACAGCAAATAGCATGTATGTGGGATGACCACATTCAGTTTTCTGCGGGCAGCTTCTTGCAGAAGACGATGCTTCTGCTTCTGCAACTGCTGTCGCAAAGCGGGATAAGCCTGGCGCCATACACACTGCAGCTTGTAACCTTCAGCCACCACTGCCTGGTAACCCCCATGAGCGCTCCGAAAGGTGTGACCGTCCACCAGAACAGCATCAGTACTGCCTTGATTCATCGGAGATATGCCCAGATCCATCGCCACCTCCCTGGCCATGAAGGATTTCCCAGCCGCTGAGGGGCCCACGAGCCAAACAGCCATAGGCTCCTGTTGCCGCGTGGCCACTCCTAAACCGGCCTCTCTCTGGGCGACTTGAATTTCATCGCGATGGAACGAGCGGTGCAGCACCTGCCGAAGCTGCCGCGGCAGGTCGTAGCCCAAATCCTCGCAAACCCTGGGACCCTTTTGGAGTGCTCGGCGCAACTTTTGTCGCAGCAACAGCACCAGGCCACTAAGAATAAAAAGAATAAAAATGAAACCGAGAATTGAAAGCCTCTTCATTCACCATGGGCAGCAGCTGGCCGTGAAACAAACCAAATTCATGAAACCTCGAAGCCCAAAAGCGACGAGGGAGAAACCGAACTGAATGCAAACTGGCTCGGCTGTACAACGTTGCTACCATGGTAGGTTGACCTCCGTGACAACCTAGATCAACCAGCTTCGATTCCAGAGTCCTCACACAGTCCCAAAGGTTGCAAATGCCCAAAGTTTGGGGGAAACACCAAACACCCCTCCCTCACAAACCCGAAGGAACGGACTCTCTCTGAATCGTGCGAATGGGTCACTATGTCGTGTATGTCGTGGTGGGGGGTCGTCCAGTGCGACCCACGCGATGTTGCGTCTTCCGGTCGTGGGTCGTCCGAGTCGTCGGTCATCGGCACCCCGACAGGGAGACCCCATGGGTTGGGAAGGGAAGGGCCCTGTTGTAGGTTTCAATTGGTGACCTGGCAGGGAGGTGCTGGTCGATTTTTCTGTTCATTTCACATCATTTCACTAGACTCGTGATGCTGAGCCACTTCCTGATTAAGCTACCATCCGTAGCTGTGAATGTCACGAGAGTGTCTCAGCAGGGGCCTTGTGCCCCGCACGGGTCGCTCCAGCCATAAACGAGCATCCGCGATCCATGCGATCGAAAAAAACCAGCGATTCTAATCCCCTCCCCCAGGTCGCAGGACATCCTACGACAGGTGAAGCAACGCATCCATGATCAGCAAAGTCTGCTACGGCCGGTGACGGCTACGGCCTTGAAGGGGGAAAGGATTCTACCTCATCTTGCTTATGCCCTTCTCAACAGACAGGCGCGCTTTAAGCGCTTTCACAGGCTAACTCATGCAGCACTGCAGCCTGCCGGCGCTTCCGTCCATGGCGGCATCCAGAAGTGAGATAAAAGGAGCAGGCTACATGTACATGCCAATCGACGTGGCTGTGCATGGTCATGCGTAGGCAAGTCGGGATATTGCAGCTTCCTTCCTTCCTTCCTCCCTTCTCTTCCCTTCCCTTCTCTTCCGTTCTTCTCTTCCCTTCTTCTCTTCCCTTCCCTTCTCTTCCCTTCGCTTGCCTTCGCTTCTCTTCTCTTTCCTTCCTTTCCCTTCCTTTCCCTTTCTTTCCCTTTCTTTCCCTTCTTCCCACTTCCTCAGAGGGGATTCAAATAGTCAAACGCCTCTCGCTTCTCGCACCTGCTGTTGCACGAAAACATAGCCGCATCACGGAGTGGAAAAGCACGGAGAAACTTCTAGACATGCAGAAAACTCAGTCCGGCAATCTCATTGTGGCCCAGGGAGCAGTGGACCAGGCTGGAATCACATGGTCGACATGGTCGAAAGACTATCATAATTGAAGTTGGAAAAGGTTGAATCACAATGGATTTGCTGGTTTTGACCAATTGCTCCCTCGGGCTGCGTCTTGGACGGCATTGTCTTCATGCCAGTCAACTTGTCTCCAAACGCGCAAAGCTGGAGCGGGCGTAAAGTGAGCACCACCATGTTGTATGACAAAACTTGAACTCAAATTAATCAAAATTGGACCAAATGATAATAGCTAAGACCAGATCTGGCATCTGACCCCAACAAAAGTGTGTGCAATTGCAATAAGATATAGAAAAGTAAAGCGAATACTATTTTCTTGTCAAGACATGTTAGCCTTGGCTTTGTTCAAGGTGATGGAACAATCCTCCGTGGACTTCAGCTCACATCGCTCCAATTCGGGCGTTTTTGGGCCCAGAACAGTGGCGCTTCATTCTCACACGCGGAAGACACCGAACCTCAAGTTCTCTGCAGGACAGGCACTCACAAAAATGTGGAAAACAATAAGCACTCTGACAACAAACCAGGTTTCACAGGCCTGTCGCGGATACGCCTTTGGCGGCCCGCATGTGCCTGTTATGAAGATTGAAAAAATCAATGTTCAGTTCAGGCCACCCAAAAGCAAAGAAAAATTCATGAGTTGTGCCGCAAGCCCCAGAAGACCCACCCACCCTAACCTGTCACCAATCCAAAGTCCAGCCTCACGGGACACGACAGCGAGCATCTCCCCATCTTGCTCGAAGCAAACGCGCCGCCTGAGAAACACGGCACCGAGCTCCCACGAGCTCCCGACGAGCTCACCGGGGACCCCCGTGACACGAGCTCCCCCACGCGTGGTGCGGTCCCGGTGGACTGGACGTCGGCGACGCCTGGGTCCGGGGGCCCCTGCGGGTCACCGGAAGCCCCTACACTGCTAAGGGACCTCCAGCCAGGACACCCCGAAAGAAAGTCCAGCTAATTGTATATGAGCATATGAGCATATATATCTATATATATCCATTTGTCGCAGAAGGCTATAGGTCTTTTCGGTCATGTCATTTCTGATGACCCTCGCAGACCTGCACCCTCGCTGGGCCCCGGACTCCAGCTTTGGGATAACCCATGTTCCGTCCCAGCAGCATTGGCCTTACAAATCAAAGGGGGCCTCCAAAAATGGACCTCGGACATCGACACTTGCCCTGTCAGCCTATCAGCTGATCTTTCTGCGTCCTTCTCCTTTGGCGATGGCCTCGGTGACTCCCACGTGTTCCGTGCGCCGTTCCTCCAACGCGTCTCGTTCCCCCGCGCGCCCACCGCGGTTTGAGCGGGCCACGCGGACTGAATGATCGCCTTCACCCCGAAGCGATCCTGCGGCGGACGACCCGGAGGTCTCGAAAAAGCCTTGTTTTTCCCGAAGAAGGACTGAATGACCGTAAAACCCCCCTCCGCCAGCGTCCGCGTTTCGGATGCGAAACATGTGCGCCTCGTGGGTGGAGGGAGTCTTCGGAGTCGTTGGAGTCTTGGGCGTCTTGGGGGTCTTTGGAGTCTTGGGCCTGAGAGGAACAGGAACAGAATGAAGAAACGGTCCATCACAGGTGGGAGATAGTAAGGCCCAACTGAGATCAAAGACACCGCAAGAAATCCAAGTAAATACTGCATGTGTCACATCATGGCAGGTCGCAGTTCTGCACGGGCTGAGATGCCACATGGCAGGTCAGTGCAGGCAGTGCACGCAGTGCACGGTGGTCTGTCCATTTTTGACCTACAATGGCTATGGGCAGGTTTTGACCCATCCCCTTTGGAACCCACCACCTGCGCCGAGGGTCTCAAACGACATTCTGCGGGTCCCCGGGCGACATTCCGCCCAGAGGGATTTCGACAAAAAAGGAGTTGTGTTTGTTGGACCTCACAGGCGAGGGCGTGAAGGAGAGCAGCACATTGCCATTCGGAAACATCCAGGATCCTTGCCCCTCTTGCTTGCCTTTTGGCGTCCGCTGGCCCAGCACCTGAGCGACGTGTAAAGAACCACAACAGCTGCACAACTGCATGAAATGCTCACTTCATCCACGGCTGCTCCAAGTCATTTAGGCACTTGCGGTTCGCCCTCTTTCACCCTCAATACATCCCAAAACACTCGGTTTTCCGGCCGCTGCGGCGGCCGCCGCGCTTCCGATTACACGGAGAGGCAGGGACCTCAGAATCCAGCATCCCACTCGGCCCGGGCATCTCGCCACGCCCGGCGTGGCATCGCGCCACGCCCTGCCGCTCGAAGCACTGAGCCAACGGCATGCTGAGTTCCAACAAGCGTGCGGCGGGTTTCAGTTCGGGTCCCAAAACTCCACTAAGCTGAGCCGATGCTGCGTGGTCCGAGAGCCTGGTTCGTGCAAACCAGGCCTGGCGGCCTGGCCGGTAATGAAAAAGAGAGCTAAGGCTAGGCCCCTCCAGAAGGGCATGAGAAGTTGCGCTTGTCACACAAGGCGCCCACCACAGGGCCACTGCGGGCCACAGAGGTTCTTTGACACTTGCATTCTGGAGGTTCCCGGCCCCTTCCACGTGCCAGTCATTCTCTGTGCAGATTCATCCCTCAGAAACTCGGCGACAGAACGTGTCCTCTAGTCAACTAAAGGCCAAGGTTAAGCCTATCTTTGCCGGCCAGGCAATGGAAAGTTGATTTTATACTGTTTTTTTCATTTAGATCTTCATTTAGATCTTCACTTTATATACAACATATGTTTGTTTTGTTTTAGTTTCTCTTGGGGTTATCATTTTGTGCATCATGTTCATCCTTCCAGAATTGATTGGCTTTGCTGTCACTTCCCATGGGCTTCCAAAATCACTTCGGTCACAGTCAGCGCCCCAAACTATAGATGCGTGAAGGGACTGCCTCACCCATCCCTTCCCGAGCAATCGAAACCAAGGATCAAAATCATGGAATGCAACTTGCAAGCTGCTGAGCTAAACCACTGGGCCCCAAAAGCCTGAGCCTAGTGGCCTAGAAATTTGTCATACAGGGATGGGAGGTAAAACAGGTTAGTAAGGAGACGCCCTCGCCCTAGCCCTGAATGAAAACTAAACTACACATGAAATTGTCAGAAACAATGTAAGTAAACAATCATGACCCAAATGAAGACCAAAATGACAGATGAAAGAAAATGATTAACCAAATGAACACCACAATGACAAATGATTAAACAAAATAAGAAATAATCAAATGAAAACCAAAATGCCACACGAAAAAAAATGACTAAAAAAAAAGCAAACGCAACACAAAAAAATGGTTTTAAAACATAACATGGTTTGTTTGCTCAAATTGTTAATTTTCCTCGAGTGGTTTGTTAATTTAGTTGCGTTTTTTCCCGTTTTGGCTAGGTTCCGCCACAAATCAACGATAGTCAGGTCCATTTCACAAAAGCTAAAGCAAAATAGAAGGAAATGCGCAACTTACCAGCAAAGAAGGTTCAGGACTAGCTGACTTGGCCGCCTTTCCTCAGGGGAGGCTATTGCAATTGAGCTCCAGCATTCTTTTGCCTTTCATGATCGTTTTGGTTAGTTTCGGCCGGCCACAAATTGTCAACATTCATGTAGTTTGCTGTGTTCATGTTGTTTTAAGTTCAGATAGTTTCGGCAACGCGTGAACGACAGTTAAGTGCATTTCACAACAGCTGAAGCAAAATAGAAGGAAATGACTAGCACTAGCCGACTAGGGTAGCAAAGAGGGTTCAGGAGTAGGTGACTTGGCAGCCTTCGCTTCAGGGGACGCAAACGATAAACACAATCACGCATGAAAAACACAGGTGGGCGTGTCGAAAAAGAGATGATGCAAACGAAAACACACATGTACATGAAAGAAAGACACAAATGGGCATGAAAAAGAAAATGATGAAAACGAAAAGAAAATTAAAAAATAAATGTTTTGTCCACCCCCAGTCTGTGGTTGTAAGATTCTCTTAAGGCTAAGGTGAGTTGTAACTGACGGGCATTGTTTGGCTTGAGACGCGAGACGTCTCGCGGCCACCCACACAAAAAAGAGATGGTATGGACATATCCTCTTGGGCTCCTTATCTACTCATTCTCGAAGGGAGATATGCAGAAACCACCACAATTCTATGCACTTAGTGTCACTTGTATCCACAAAATGGCGGATCAGCTTGAGAACAGCTCAGGATCAGTCTTGACTCGTTCTCTTTTCTCGATCTCTTGCAGGATGAACTGTCGAACGGTTCCTCTCCGCTTTCACTGGTCAACTCTCATTGCTGAGCCACTTCCTGAAGCTACGGCAGTTAACGCGCGTACGGCACATGTTCGGAGAATCCAAATATGGACGGCTTGATTCATCGAGAGCCTGCATTACATTGTACCAATTCTACAAACTTGGAAGTTTGGTGACGTGCCTCAGCAGGGGTGCTGGTGCTTGGAAACCGGTCGCTCCCAGCTCAAAACCAGCGTCCGCGACCGGTCGAAAAAGGCAGCACCCCAGATTCTACTTTCGTCGTCCATCCTCGTGATCCTTAATCCTCCCTCTAAGCTCTTCAGGCTGACAGGCGCGCTTTAAGCGCTTCCGCAGGCTAACTCTTGCAGCACTGCAGCCCGCCAGTTGTGCGGTTCCCGACAGCGAAAACGAGTTCTTGAAACGGGTCCGCTAACCCAGCACGACAGACCCAAATAATTCATCAGACTCATAAATAACTGCCAGCATGGCCGAGACATCATCTTCATCTGTGCTCCAAACGTAGGAAGTTGGTCAATTGGTGCGTCACGTTTCACGGTATGTCCCGACGAAACCACCTGGCCAGGTGGACCAGGAGCAGTGCCAACCATCTAGAAATATTCAATGAATCTGTACGTAGCCCATTTGCCAACATGACATCGCTAATTTAGTTACTGTTATTTATATAAAATGATTACATATGAGCTAAATGATTCGGCAATTTGCCAACAATCTAGAATTAATGATCCGTCTAGAATCTTTGCCTTGAAGTTGAGTCCGGCATTGGCAGTGACCCGAAGAGAACTTCCCGAACCACTCGTCACTCGAAACGGAACCGCAAGGGGCTGAAGAACATTGGGATGCCTCTAAGCATGCAGAAAGACATCAGTCCGGCAATGGCGTCTTTGGTGGGGAGCAGCACTATCACGGCCGAAGCTTCAATCACTTGGGTGGATTGAAGCACTGCCCCTCTTGCATCGATTCAAGAATGGCCGACAACAAAGGCAACACTGTCAATCCATCCATCCTCTCAAGTGACACTGCAAACGCCAATTGCTTCGTGAATGCGTGTGGTGACGGCATTGTCTTCATGCCAGTCGACACGCCGAACAACAAAAGCCAAGGATAAAGGTGTCACACTTCAATGGCAACACATGGCAACATGTGATCCGATGCTCTAGGCCATCGTCGCACTCTCATACACGGAAGGCACCAAACCTAGCAAAGACCCATCCAATCCCAGCAGTGACAGCGCGGACACAAATAACATCAAAGAACCATCCAATCCCCCTGGCCTATCGCGGATACGCCTTTGGCGGCCCGCATGTGCCTGAACCAGGATTCACATCAAATGAACATGCCCAACCCCGAGCAAGATCTTTCTTTGTCTGAGAATGATCTGTGGATGTTTCATGATGTTTCAACTCGCCTCGCGGGACATGACAGCCAGCATCTCCCCATCTTGCTCAAAGCAAACGCGGCGCCTCGGCGTTCGGGAACGCTCGTGAGCAGCGCCCGCTTGCTCACCCGGTGTTTTCCATTCTCACCCTTGCGACGCCCGCCCGCGGCGGCTCCAGCGGCTGTCGATCCCCACGTGGACGCCGCCGGTCCCGGTGGACTGGTGCTGGGCGGAGCCTCGTCTGCGACGAGAGCAGCCGGTTCGACGTCGGCGGTCCGCGAGGCCCAAGGATCAAGGATCGATCGGCTCGGCCGCCCACTGCCATCTTTGGATAGAGTCCCATGGATCGTCCCAGAAGTACTGGCCTGGGCGACGAAGAACCGGGCGTGGGCCGTTCTGTGACAGGTGCGGGAAGGTCAAGAAAAAGAAAATGCCCGTTTCAGGTGGCATGAGTCTTTGAGAAAGGCTGAGCCTGTCAGCTGCTGCACAGGGCCGCTCCTCTATCTCCTTCTCTTTGGGTGAAGGCCTTAGCGAGTGGAGACATCATGCGATGTCGCTACTGTCCCACCCAATTACTGAGCCACAAACAAAGATTCGAAGATCTTCAGATTAAAGCCATCCTCACAAAACAAATAATCACTCCACATTGTCCTCTTGACCATCTGAAGCACCATAGCCATAGGTCATAGATCTTTGATTTTAGTAGGAATCTGCAACTGCCCCACGTTTTCCAAAATGTTGTGCCATGTTGTTGCCCATCCCACCCCGTCCCAATGACTCACCAAGATCCCACCGTCCCATCCATCTCCCCCTCGCCTCGCTCTGGGGACTCTGGGGGCTCGTGGGCGTTTTGGGAGCCTTGGGCGTCTTGGGCGTCTTGGGCCTCGGCGACCCGATGGCACCGGCGTGGGTCGGTGCCGGCGGTGCGGGGCCCCGAGACCGGTGCGCCGTGTGGTCGCCGAAGAAGCCCGTGGACCTACAAGAGGAAAGAGAAGAGCGACAAGGAGATTGGTAGGGATGGTCACCATATGTCCATGTCAACAATGCGTGTGCCAAATAGAGCACGGTATATATATATAGGTATAGGTATATACTGTAACCATGTCCGTGTATGATCGTTTTTGATGACGGCTCCTTGTCGAAACCCTTCCTTCGGCCCATCTGTTCTGCTTGATATGTTGCTGCCGCCATGCTGAAGCCTAAGGAAGCTTGGGGCCTGGCCCTTCCTGGTGGGCCTTTGGGCTAAGCTGCTCCAGGACCTCAGGCTGGATTTACAATCCAACAAGCTTCCTAAGAGAGAAGTGAGAAGTCGCCAGAACTACGCAAGAGAAGTGAAAAAGGCCAGCACTCCCATCATCTCTAAGCGTTCCCGGCGCTTCCAAACAATCGGAGAGGCAGGGCCCTGGATGGCGTGGGCAATGCAATGAATGAAAACATGCGATGGTCGATGCATGTTTTTCTGCGATGCCCACGAGGCAAGCGGAATATGACCAGGAGACTCCTCCCCGAGTCACTCGGCGCTCCCCACTTGCTTCACCAATATCTATATATATATATATATACGCAGCAGCGATGGAAAAAAGAACCAAGCTGCGGGCATGGCAGTCTGGGCGCTTAAGCTGGTCCACGACTGATTCTTTGGTTCGTACTTCCCTGCCGGTCCGCAGTGGAGCCCGAGCTGCGGTTCCGGAGTCCAAAAAGCCTCCGACGACCAAAGTCCCATGCCTTCGGGAAAAAGAAAACACCTGATGAACACCTTCAACTGGCTTACAGCTGCAGGCTTACAGCTGTCTCAACCGTCACTCAGTTCAACATGTCTCACTGCAAAAAGCACCAGACCCTTTCAGGCCAACTCCTTCACCGGGAAAAATAAAACAATCTCCCAAAGCAGTTGATGCAAAGTGTCCTGGTCAACGTGACAAAATTGAAACTGGAAGAAACTGCCCAAGTGGTATACTTGTTCTCCAGCTCTCTGATGGAACTCCGTACAGGTGTGGAAGTCGAACTTCGTTGGGATTTTTACCAGGCCGAAGGCAACCCGGAGATCGCACAGGTGAGCAGCCACAAGAGCAGGTCAGGCAGCCGTGCAGTCAACAGAGTGGTCTGGTGCTGCTCTGTGTGGCAGTCCCATCGCAGAAAGGCCACCTGACCTGGTCGGAGCATCCTGGCTGCACATGGTGAAACTTAAGTGAAACTCAGTCATGCATGGCTATTGCCATAGTGCGAAGGTAGCATCAGAAGACCCGCTGATGAGGAATTTGTTGGCCACGGGCTCAAAGACCACATCCTGCATCGAAGCAGAGGTCAGAAGTGGCTGAGATTGCAACAAAACTGATAACTTATAACAAACAGGCCTGAACGGAATCATCGTGCCCTTCCAAATTTGCCACGAAGACCTTGTCATCAATGTTGAAGGTTTTGATGGATGCATCGCCCGACCTTGCGAAGTGAGCGGTCACATATGTGTTGGGTATAATCACATTCCCTGGGGCCAGTGGATGATGGTTAGGTTGCCGACTGTTACGGGTCATATGATGGGACACCCCCAACATGTGTGCTCTAGGACATAACACGCCAAAGACATGAATCATCAGGTGCAACACGGTCGACATGGAGCTCGTTCTTTTCACCTGAAGAACGTCCGAGGCACGCGATGGCCAGGACCTTTCCACTGCGGTCGAAGTTGGAAGCATTGGCTGGATGTCGCCCAGTGTCAATCTGTAGGAACTCTGACACCACTCGCACATCCCACAGCTTCACGATGCCATCTGCATCGCAGGATGCCACAGTGTCACCCTTCAAATTGAACATGGCGTGGTTGCAAGCATTGGCATGGCCATAGAAGGTCTGCACACACAGACCCGTTCGCAGGTCCCAGAGTGAGATCGTCTTGTCGCCTGAGGCGGTCAACACGTTGTTCGAGAAGGGCTGAAGGGTCACGAAGTTCACCGAGTCCACGTGGCCGCGAAAGGTCTGTCGGCATCGCATGCTGGTCGTATCAAAGGCTTTCACCGTCTGATCCTGAAGAGATGACCATCCAAAAGGAAACTCTCGAAGTTTCAACAGGTTGGCGTTCGATGTGGTCTTTCTTTGCCTTCTTCTTTGCCTTTTGGTGAGGCATGGCTGAGAGCAGGGCCATCGAGCAGGATACCACAAAATCCCCAAGATCGTGAAAGGAACAAGCCCACACAGGCCTCACAGACATATAGAGTTCACTTCCACATCGGCACCATAAATGGTCCTATTCCACAACATGGACCCCAGCCGCTGAGTTCCAGGCTGTGTGTGATCTGTCAGAGTGTGTTTGCACTTTTCTTTGGCCACGTCCCAAATCTTCACCGTGGAGTCTCCTGAAGAGGTAGCAACCTGCAGCGAACCGGGTGGAACCTTCGCCACGGCGGCACCGGGTTGGAGGTCTGATTTTCTCCACTGGCCGGGAGACCCGGCAGGTGCAAACGGTAGGGTCCCAAAGGTTCCGAGCTGCGAAGCTGGGGGCGAAGCTGGGGGGCGAACGGAGGGCTTTGGGCGAACGGCGAAAACCAGACGTTCTCACTGGAGATACAGCAAGAACGAAAAGCCAAGCCACCAGGCTTTCGTCGCTGGGCCTCCCGACCAAGGAGCCGCGTGGATGGAAGGCGATACCGCTGACCCAGTCCCTGCAGCGAGCTGCACAGTGGCCGTGAGCTGCTGACGCGGTGGTTTGGAAAAAAAACAAGGCATCCCATCCGACACCGATCTCTTCAAGGGTCGCAAGAAATCTGCTGGAAAGCTTCGGTTGAGACCTGCTGGTGCTAAACCTCGCAAATCGCTTATGTCGAGTTCGAGAGGGTCATTCTGAGGGGTTCAGAGCAGTATTCTTGGAGCATTTCTGGTGGAGGAGACAGAATAGAGTACGACCACAGCGTTTTTTTGTGGCTTCTGGGCTGCGAGATTTGGCTTCATCAGTGTCACTACATTCAATGCGGTTTGATGTCATGGAGGTATATATAAGCCTCCCAAAAACAATAGCATGGGATAAGTGCAGGGATCCTGACGTGTGTAACATACACCCTGGTTGTTGGCAACTCCACCTAGTAGCCACTTGCTGCACGAAACTTCCCACTAGTCTTCACCAGCCTGTGACCTTCACCACTCAGGACCAGCTGACCTGCGCCAAAGGTGAGCTGAACCTAAAGACTCATGCGCAATTGCCGTTGCAACCGCTTGCACTGCCAGCTAGCATATCAACCTATGTTTCAGCTGATTTGTGGTTCTATCAAATCACGATTGTTTAAACGGACAACTCAACACCAAACACAACTGTTCATCGACCTTGGGATGGGTTTCATGAAAAAAAAACAAGAAGGAGAAGAATGAAAAAGATTTACAGTGTAAAAAAAAAATAGGAAAGCACCTGCTCTTCCAAATCAGTGGGTTGAGTTCATAGACAAAGCACGCACCAAAAAAGACTGCTCTTCCAAAGTTTAGTTCTGGTTTGCGCAACCCACTTGCCTTCCGGCATCGACCACATCTTCCAAGTATGGTCATCACAGGCCGTTGCCACCACCGGAATCTTCGGGTGGAAAGCCACTCGAGAAATAGCCTCAAAAGAACAAGGACATGCAACTCAAGAAGAAGTGCTTGGAGATAAGGTTCCTTCACAAACTAATGGTGTTCAGGTATGAAAAGTGCCCGCTTTCCTGTCTCACTCAGCTCTGGACCCCCATATGTCCTTTGAAGACTTGGCTCCTGCCGTCAGGTTAGGCCAACGGAATGGCATTGTTGGATGCTGAGGCAGCGGAGAAAGAGAATAAAAGGACCACATGCGCAAAAAAAAGCATCCGTGCTCCTCGTGAAATCCGAGATGCGCACGGCCTCGAAGTTGGAGTTGCTATAGGGGTTCGTCCTGCCCCCGCGCGGGTCGAAGCGTTCGACCACGCCCCGTCGAGGATCAAAGCCGCCCGCCGCTCCTGTCTTCGCTGGGCCACGGAGCTTCCCGCAGGGTCTTCTTCTTGCGCTGCAGCTCGTCACTGTCGGTCAAATCCTGTCCGTCTTCTCTCAGGATAAGCAACCAACGCATGGACTGGCCAAACATGGATTCAGAAGGAACATGATCACAACATCTCCCAAAGGTAGATGGTCATCCCTTGCAGAAACGATTCCGGAAAGAAGGAGGGTCAACTAGGGCTCCCGGGTTCTGACCGACACCAATTTTGATGTTTGCAACAGTGCAACGCCCACCTTGCTGTTCATATTCTCTTCTTTCGCTTCAACCTAGCCAGTCCGTCAGAAAATCGCGTGCGACGAAGCAAACAAAGCAAATTCCTACATGTCTCATTCCGTGTGCCGAACCGCAATGAACGATCGGACGAAACAACGAACAGCTACCAACTGTGACCATCTTCCAGATCCCGGGATAGCTCTTTGTTTCGGCGCTGCGCAGCTATTTGCGCAGCACTGTGCAGGCACATCCGCGAGACGAGACTGGGGGATGCATTTCCACTTGGAAAACCTGTTTCAGGACCGAGGTCCTCCAGCTCTTCACCAAAACCCTCGCCTGTGAGAGCTGCTTCTGCAAGGACTCGGCCTCGAGATGTAAACACATCGTGGTGAAGCGATCAAACACCCGGAATCGGCCCCGGAATCGGCTGCGAACAGTCGGAAACGACCCTGAATGGTATGATGGATCACTCCGGCAGAGTATTTATATACATATATATAGACATATACGTATTATATAAATATATATTTGTATGTGTGTGATTACAAATGTATATATCTGTGCGTGCTTTGAATATGATTTAATTAGCATACATATGTGTGTGTGTCACCCTTGGAGTCATAGGGATGCTTTTGCATTTGTTTTGTTTTACAGCAGGGGGTGCCAGGGGCCGTGCAAGTCTGGCACTAACAAAGACACTTGCACTGGTCTGTGATATAGCTCCGGGACGCTGGAGCTACGTACCTGCTTTGAAATGAACCTACGTAATGGACAAGCTGTTCCAATGCTGTGCTTTGCAGTAATTGTCTAGTGCTGACCTCTCCGTCGTTGTGCTTTTTGGAGATCGGTGGAGCTTTCGGTCTTTTCTGCAACTTTTGGAACTTCCACTGGATAAACCTCTTCTTCCTTTTTAGACTTTCCTTCTTCCTTTTAGGTTTCCCTACTTGTACTCTTAGGAATTGGAACCCTAGGCCGGCGTGTGGCACCGCATTCAGTTCCGTACACAATATCTCAAGTGTGTGTTTGCGTTTACACTTCCCCAGGCCGTCATCGTTTTTCACGCATCCTTGAAGGGGGGCGAATTATATATATATATAGAGCAAATTTGAGAAAAATAACGTCAAGAATTCTGTGAGTGTTGGGTTGCTGGGTCTCATTGGAGCCACACGGGCCTTTGCAGCATATCGATCACGTTCCAGTCGCATGAGCATCTTCTCCTGCGCAGTTGGGTTTGTCTCAAGTATACACTCACCTGTGGGAACGGTTGAAGTTGCAAAACAAGGACAAAAAACTGTGAGTCCCTTTCGTTGCCTTCATGGCCACTTCATATTTGTGCCGTAATTCTGTCAGCGTCGGCTCGTACTGCTCATAATGCTTCTTCAAGCGCTTCAAGTCCTTGTCTTACTTACCGCAGTCTCTGAACATGAGAAGGACAAGCTCTTGGGAAAACATTCCCAATCAGCTGCCACCAAGCTTCGACAATGAGCTTGTTCTTTTCTTGCACCACCTCAAAATTCCATGAACACACGGCACTTTGGCACGATCCAAGATGGACTGTCCAATCCACCTAAGACTCCAACGCGACGATGATGCATGCGATGGTAATCTCGCTCCTTGCGGAACTTGTCCCAGGACTCCTTGGCCTCGCGAGGGTCGCCGCGTCGCCGTTGCTTCGGTCGATGAGGATCACGCTGCGCCCCTGCCTTCGCGGCCACCACGCGAGCTTTCTCCAGCTCCTCCCGCAACAGCAACACCTGGCAGTCGAAAAGTTGGGCGGGGCTGCAACTGCTGACCAGGAATGAACTGCCACCTCTTGCTGAAATCCGTGGTTGCGGGTGTAGACATCGGGGACCACTGCTAGCTCAGAGTCCTGCATGTTGAGCAAAAGGATGGAAGTTTTGATGCGTCAAAACAACACATGCAAAAAGCGAGTATATAGTGGCTCTGACATTTGGTGCCAAGCCAAAACATCGCAACAATCCTTGAACTTCCCATTCTGCTGCATCTCGTACCACTCTGCCTGAAAAACGTCCAGGGATCGCTTCATCCCATACCTGCAAACGAGCGAGCGTGCGGCCCATGAGGAGGGCGGAGGTGACGAGGGAGCGTGTCAGGCGCTAGCGCACTTGAGGAGGAAGTTCCGGAAGAAATCGTCAATGACTTGAGGACGCTGCTGCACCTCAGAAGCAAACGCTTCTGAAGAATCCAAGAGGGACCAAGACCCCTCTACCCCTCAAACCCCTCGACAAAACAACCCTCTCGCCTTGGCAAGCCCAGCTTCTTCTGTGGCCTCCTGCGATGGTCAACATCAAGGCACGACTCCGCGAGAGGCAGAGGTTTTACACCCTGGAACTAACATGGTCACGTGGACAAACAGGTGGTGAACTCCACTTCCAGGTTAATTCCAGGGAGAGTAGGCTTGATTCAACAACATTCTACTTTAGCCGCTCAAAACAAACACTCGTGTCTACAAGAAAGCCATCCCCTCCTGGGTATCAGCTTGCTTAGTCTCTGCAAGGAGACGGTTGATGTCATCCAACTGCTCCTGATCAACGACACCCACTGCTCCACTGCTTTGACCACACGGACGGCATCGACCGCATCCACCAACGTTCACGGTTGCGACTCCAAAAAAGGTGTATGTATCTAGGGCGTGTCGACACCACGGAGGATGGTCTACCGCACCGCTGGCGCCGCGGGCGTCGCCTCCTCGTCGTCCGGTTCGAGAAGCTCCGGGTCTTCGGGCAGCTCCTCGCGGCACACCGCTGCGATGTTCGCGGCGTTCGCGCGGTGAAAAGCATCGAGTCGATGCCAGAAAAAACGGTTAACTGATCGGTTTTTTTACTGCATGGTTACATCCCTGCAGACAGACTAACATGGACCCTGAGAATGGCACCCATGGTTTCCGCCATAATACCAACCCAGTGGTTTTGGGGGCCCGTGTTTGCCCGTGTTAATCTGATGGAGATTATTAATACGGAATGCCCCGTGCCGGTTGAAAGCGCCCCTCAAAGCCTCGTAGTTGAACTCATCATCACTTTCCTCGGGACAACCAATCATTCCAACTCAGCATTCACCAAACGGTGACTTCAACGGCAAGCTTCATCACTCAATTCGATCGTCTCCAAGATCGTGTGCTGCTTGTCCGATCGCGAGGCATCCATGCCTCACGCAAAGCACGCGCACGCATGTAGGGCCAAGAAGGTGGACCCACTTTGATCAACTCTTGCGACAGAATCAAGGACTGCCCGCCCCTCAGTCAATACGCTGGAATGAACTTCGAACACCTCTTTGCACGTCATGGCACGTACAAAGACCCATCCTAAACCACGGGCATTTGCCAGAGAGGTGTCTCCTTTTGCGTGTTTCTTCGTGGGACTGTCAGGACAGCCAGCCTTTTCCCGCTGTGACCACCATCGGCACGGCCAAGCTTCGCTGGCACTGCTCTAGACTGCCCCAAAAAAAAAGGCTTGAGCAGAAACCAGTGCAAGCCCGTCAAGCGTGAAACCATTCCAAGTCTTTTCGAGCCTCCCTCTCTCTCTCTCTCTCTCTCTCTCTCTCTGTTAGGCATTATGATACACTTGTGTAACAGTGTGACATATGTCACTTTCTAGCTAGGTGACTTGCAAGTGGAACTACCAAATTCAGCTTCAGCTTCGAAACACTTCCGTCAGCGCTCCACGCGTCTTTGGCGCTCGCCGAAGCGTCTTCAGTCAGCTTTCCTTTCAGGGCACCGAAGTGGCACGACCCATCTGCCCACGGCGAAAGCTCGAACCGACACCGCGAGCGTTTCAAGCTCGAACCTCCGCGACTTCTGTAGGTGTGACTGAAGTAGCGGCCAAGCTACTGCATCCTTGGGTCACAAAGGTGGATAACAGAAGACTATCTCAGTCTGTATCAATAACTGCATGAACAACGAACCTGGAGGGGCTCTCAACGTTCACCAAGAACCACGCCCAGTTCTCATCCCAGCCGTTGAGCTTGGGCCTTTTGGCGGCTGACGCAGGGCTGCTAAGCTAGTGATAGGGCGGACTGATTAGATGCGGGTTTAGAGTCTAGAGTCTCTACTAAAAGGGGAAGACCGGAGACCACCCAAGGCCCCCCCCGGAGGAAAGAACATAAACCAAACCATACCAAACCCCTCTTTGAGGCCAGGGTGTCCCCGGAGTGCCCTCCTCTTCAAATACAAACCGTCTCACCGAGGCCCGAACTGCCCGGCAGCCGACTCCAGCTGCGGCAAGTCGTACGTCGCAACCTGCGTGTTGCGAGAGGAGGTCGACAGGATCGTGCGTCCAGTGGTGGAACTGGGAGATTTCCCCTCGCTGGGCTTCCTACGCCCAAAGCGTGCGATAAACTCTGGGCAAGCTCCTGCAAATCATCTTTTTGCAAAGGAACCGTCCACCTGTGACTCTTTGATCTCAGTCCTCCGAACTGGAAAATGTGAAGCCATTTTCACCATGGCGAACTAGCCTTCAGAGAGGGAAAATGGATGAAAACATCTCGGGGCCGGGACTTGTGCACAGTCGGGTCCAAACCAAATTGGAAAACGATTGAACTTGCTCCAAGGTGGCCACTCAGGCAGTGCGGCGAAAGATCTGGCACATGCGGGCAAGCCTGCTCCAAACATGTCAACCACCTGGACAAGCCAAAGGACAAAGGAATGCAGAAGGACAAAGGAACGCAGCCGATCACCTTCATAGGAAGGTCGAAGCCGGATGAAGAAGTATGTAAGCCTTTGCTGCTTCCAAATGCATGCACCCTGACTATTGTCTAACGTCTCCTGCACACAACAAGAGCTTGACTCTCTTAAAGGTAAGCCCTCCACTTAAGCCTAGATCGGCACTTCCCAGCAAGAGAGCGTAATCCTTGAAACTTAACCTGGGCTCATCGACTGAAACTCACCTGGCGTAGGCACAGGCGTTTTAACAGGCGTTTTGCTGCGCAAAATCTTCCACACCCAGCAGCCAAAGGGTCAGGACTCGAACCGCTTTGAGCTGCTGCCTCACTTCACTGCAACCAATGTGCACAAAAACGGGGCAGCACTTCAAGGATGGAACGACATCGCTGCATAGCGATCCTTCAGGAACAACATTGAACGACATGCGCAAATGATGAAGGCACCAAACTACAAGGACCAAACGAAGCTTTGTGCCAATGAATGCCCCAATACTTCCACTGGATGACTTGAAGGGACCAAAGCTCTCTGGCCTCAAATTGCTGCCGCAACTCACCCTTCCCCGTCACCACGACCACCGCGCGCTTGGCAGCCTCAAAGTTCAAGCTGCCGACCAGCAGATGTCCCCAACTCGGCAACCCTCGGGCCCCTGGCTTTGGCCAGGTCGCGATCCAAGGCGGGCAACGCCTCATCCCGGTCGCGGGTCGCGGGTCGACCGGAGCACGCAGTCGGGTCCCGGTCTTCGGTTTTCGGCGCCGCGCGTCGAGCAGCTGGTTGAAGTCCTCGTCGGGAGTCCAAGAGGTGGAACCTGGAAAGTCGGAGCACGCCACGAGGAGGTCGGCTGGGGGGGGCTGTGGGTGGCTGTGGGTCGCCCCTGATGGACCGGCGAAAATGAACAGGATAGACCACCAGGCAGGTCAATCTACCAGTGAAGTGGGCTCCAGGTATTGACCCACAGCCACGACGACAGACCACGACAACCATTGCTCAGCCCAGGTCACCCGGGAGCGCCAGCGAGGGAAGCAGGGAGAACTGCGGAAGCAAAAGGGCCCCGACTGATCACCAAATGTGGCCTGCTCGAAGAGCGACCTCAGTCTGGGCAATATTTATACAACACTCAGAAGTGAACCTGAAAAAATCCAAGGTTGTGGCTGACCTGTCCTTCTGAAACTTCAGTGAACAGGGTTTGGCCTGGTCCAAGCACACATTCCACAGCCCCAGCCCACGTTGATTTTGGGTCCTGCACTCCTTCCATCGGGCCACCAATCAGACAACCTTAGAATTGACTCCACCCCCATCACCTGGATGTGGTTTTGACTCCGTGACCCATGCGTTTTGGAACTCTTCGTTTTCTGCCTCGCCCTTCGCCAACGACCGCGAAGGAAGGAGCCTCCCTCTCTACTGCCAGATCTGAGGCGCAGGACCGATCCAACAGGCCACTATCCCACAAGCTTAGGAACAGCGCATGTTGCCCCTCAAGTGGCGTGGGCCTGCCATGGTTCATGGGAGGGTCGGCGGTCGGTCGGCGCTTTCTTTCGTTTCTGCCCAGAGGCATCGCCTGAACATGGATGCAGGCCGGTCATGCAATGGGGTCGCAGAAACCTTGGTTCACACAACACGTGACAAGTGGAGACGAGGCAAATCCTATCACGACGAGTCAGGAGATGTGCCCGCACATGCCTCCCAGCCGCAGGAGATGTGCCCTGCAAAGAAATTACAGTAAGCCAAAGTAGCACTCCATTCCGACGCCAATCGCGAGCGCATCCTCAAATGAACTGCTTCGAGCCCCATCTCCCGAAAATAACATTGAAGCAAGCCCTGGTGAGGTGCCAACTGTGCCGTCACACAGAAGGCATCATCTGCCATGCGGCCAAAGAATGTTTCATAGGCCAAGTGCGCCTGACGAGAACAAACGTGGTGCTGCTTCAGTTTGTCAGCTACAAATAAGGTGAGTCCACCTGCACCAAGGGATGTGCCTCCCCCAGCCTGGCGACGTATTCCAGGATCAAACGAAAGCACCTTTTTAGGAGAACAACTTTTGGTCAAAACATGCAGGGGCGTCTTCAGTGCCAGCAGAGAGTAGCCGAAATTGTGGAAGTCTATGATTAACGAAGCCCCCTAGGTCGCGGAGTTGTGTCCTTTCTTTGGTCGCGTCGGCCAGCGCATTCGTCCTTGGGTCCCTCCTAAAGAGTTTGTGAAGGCCTTCCCTGCCTGGAGTGTAGCAATGATCCGGGCCAGCACTAAGGTCGGAATGGCCGGCCTCGGTCATACACGACAGGAATGGGTCGACCAAAACAAATGGAAAACGAAAACCGCCCACCGCCGAGACCCACACGGATTTTGCACCAGAAGGAGATCAAACTTTGGTGCTGAGAACCTGCAAGGCGCAAACGGCTTCTTGGAGCCTGTGTTTCTGCTTGGTCCAAGAGCAGCACAAAAGAACTTTCAGCAGCCCCCACACCAGGAACACGACCTGCTCAAATGAAACCCGTTTGAGAACGAACGCACGCAGTGTTCATCGGCAAGTCGAACCTTCAAAGCGGCTTTGATTGTGAATGGCAGCGATCGCGGAAACTCCTCGATGGTCATGTGTGTGCATTGTTAGGCTAGGCAAGTGAGGGGATTTTAGTGCCAGGGAAAGTTTCTGAGGAACCCCGCCCACGGAACGATGTGGCGCAAATGGATTCGCGGATGCGAGAGGACCTCCTGGCTTGGAGGTTGTGCAAGAAATCTGTCTAAAAAGATCTGAAACCCAACTAACTAGTCGCTCTTGTTACTAGTGGTGAGGCCAAAAGCTACTAGTAGTTTCTTGCTCCTATTTGTTACCATTAGTAAGGCCAGAGCTACTAGTCGTTTCTTGTTCCGTGCCCTTTGTTTTTAATAGTTTCTTGTTACTAGCAGTAAAGCCAGGAGCTACTAGTAGTTTCTTGCTCCTAGCAGCGATGCCCTTTCTTCCTAGTAGCGTCTTGTTACTAGTGGGAAGGCCAGGAGCTACTAGTAGTTCTTGATCCTAGTAGCGATGCCCTTTGTTCTTAGTAGTTTCTTGCTACCAGTAGTAAGGCGAGGAGTTACCAGTAGTTTCTTGCTCCCAGTAGCGATGCCCTTTGTCCTTAGTAGTCTCTTGTTGCTAGGAGTCAGGCCAGGACCTACTAGTAGTTGTTTGTTCCTAGTAGCGATGCCCTTTGTTCCTAGTAGCCCCTTGTTACCAGTAGAACGGCCGGGAGGTACTAGGAGCTACTAGGAGTTTTTTGCTCCTAGTAGCGGTGCCTTTTGTTCCTTGTAGTACGAATCGGTGGCCAGGAGCTACTAGTAGTTTCTTGCTCCTAGTAGCGCTGCCCTTTGGTCCTGGTAGTTTATTGCTACTAGTAGTGAGGCCAGGGGCTACTAGTAGTTTTTTTGCTCTTAATAGCGGTGCCTTTTGTTCGCAGTAGCTTCTTCCTACGAGTAATAGGGCCAGGAACTACTAGCAGATTCTTGTTCCTAGTAGCG